GTAATGTGGGGAATACGAGCTTGTAGGCTCAGCCAAAAATTCCCCGTATACCCTGTATAAAACGGGGTCGCGTACCTGTTTTCCGAGACGAAACTCTGCTCTTCGACGTAGCCTCAACTGGGGATCCTCTCTGCCCGGAGGCAGAGAGTTTGACCAACACAGCTGGAGACGAATCTCCGACTGCAGACCAACATACAGTATATACTATTGTATTTAGGTGAATGCGGACAAACCTATTACCGTCCATAGGTATGCTACAACACATTTAAACCTTTGAAAGTTGAGTGGAAAGCATGAAGCGGGAAGAGAAGTGCATGGCAGAACAAGGACCGAGATTGGATGAGGAATAGACAAAATTCATTCAAATGATACAAATGATAGGAAGTTGTGGTGACTCCTGATCGCTCACGTCCTGAAGGGACACGTCCCATAGAAAGTGTATATAGAGATTTTTCTTACTTGTTTTCCATTCGCGTATGGGACAAATAAAAACAGGAATTAAGAAGACAGAAGATAACGGTTGACATTTGCAATTAAACCTTTGAAGATCAAAGTTGACTGGAAAGCAAGAAGCTGGTAGAGAAAACAATGGCAGAACAGGGACCCGGATGAGATGAGGAATGGACAAAATTTACTGAGATATAAAAATGATAGGAAATTGTGGAGAGATCACGTACTGAAGAGACACGTCTCAGAAATAGAATATAGACATTTTTCTTACTTGTTTTCCATTTGCATACGACATACACATCTCTTTTAATGATGAAGAATACCTTACCTGTAGGATTAATATATGGAATGGCTGTTGGATACATTCCATTGATTTGGTGCCGTTGAAAACTTTTTGGCATGGGAGCCGAGTTTGCAGAATATCAAACTACATTTTCTTTCATTGTATACATTATAGTATTATATAAAAGATTTTTTTTTTTTTTTTTCCATTACGACGTTACGTACTTTCATTGATATATCTAAATACTTAAACAATAGTAGAGTGGGTCGCCCAAGGACAGAGTTATAAAGCGACAAGTTATTTATCAAGCAAATGGCGGAAGAGAAAAAAAGAATTGCACCGGAAGTTACTCTTATAGAACGCAGAAACTTAACGTTAATTTTTCTTGTTGACATGAAATGCATTTTCGCTAAGAAGCAGACGACAGCAAAGAAGCCGAATAACTCTTTTAGTGACATTCTCTGTTCAAACGCTTACTGAAAGCAGAATGTCTCATGGACTCTATTTCCGATACCCGTCGAAATCCTGTAAGCTTAGCTTGACTGATGGTATATGAAAGAGGACATTTGTGTCAGTCACTGTCTCAAGGAACATTTATAGACAATGGTTGTACAAAAGCCAGTTTATATAAATCTACAGAGAACATAACGTGACGACACACACACACACTCACAGACACACACACACACACAGACACACACACACTCAGAGACACACACACATACACAAACACACACACACACATATATATATGTAGTCTCGTCCGACACAATGAACCGACTTTCTTAGCAGATGATCTAGCGATATATATATATATATATATATATATATATATATATATATATATTAATGAATAAAAATGACAATAGGAAAACTGGTAATTGCTGACGCGTTTCGTCCAATGTGGACTTTATCAAAGCAAAATACGAAAATGAAATTAATTGAATAAAGTAACTAATAAAAACAAAAAACAGAATGTACCTAGCAACTGGAATATAGAGAAACGCTATTTTCATATTTTTAACTGAAAAAATAATATATATATATATATATATATATATATATATATATATATATATATATATATATATATATATATATATATATATATATATATATATATATATATATATATTCCAGGGGGGAACTTGGTGCATTGCTTAGAAGCCCGCCTCGTTAATGAATTGTGAGTTCGATCCAAACTGGATCTTCCACACTTAGCCCTTTTGTGCTACATGAAAGCTACGCTTAGAAAATCTGGGCATTTCGATGTGGTGTTCCTGTTAGCAAGCTTGTCTCACTAGATCAATTACGAGTCAACAGTGACTTCGGCCCTCACTGGGTGCCACGTACTTTCGGCCTTGTGCGACGTCTAAGATACGCTTAGAAAATCAGGGCACATCGACGTGGTGTAATGTTTGAAATCTGGTCTCGCTAGATCAATTACGACTGAACAGTGAGTTCGATCCTCACTGGGTACTTCTTAATCTCGGCCTTGTGTCACATGTAAGCTTTGCTTAGCAAATCATTATATATAAACCTCCATTTCCTGTACTCTACTTCAATTGGAATTCTTTTGATTCCAAATCCCGAAAGTTAAATTTAATTTCCACTTTAACACATAGTGCATTGATATATTCTTTTAGGCTTGATTGCGAAATGGAAAACATTTAGGGTATTTCTCCGGGACAATGGTTACCCGGAACATGTTATTAAATGTACAATTCAGCGAAGGGTTAAGAGTTTAAAGTTCCCGCATGTGTTTGGTCCCTGTTTGTACCTAGTCTATCTGAAACTGTCGTTGTTGGAGAGGGGCATGTATCTTTCTGCCGTCAAGATACGTGTTGCTTTTGGTACTATCGCCGCGTTTAATTCGTTCGCTAAGCACGGTCGGACCTATGCATAAAATAGTTTCGTTGTTCATAAACTTACATGTCAGTGCGACGCTGACTATATAGGGCGGACCGTGTATGAGTACCCGCAATTCACGTCTTACGCAGACGGCACAGGATTCCGCACCAGGTTAACACCACTTGGATAATACACAGTGTGCATGATTCGTGGTTTTTCCATTTTCTGTTTGTGCGTTGGTAATCTGAATTTCTTTCTTGAATTTTCTGAATTTCTTTCTTCAATTCAAGAAAGAAATTCAGATTACCAACACACAAACAGAAAATGTCTCATACCGAGAATATTTAACATTGAACATGAGAAAAAATTAATTATTTTTAATAATATGTGGAAATCTCCACTTTTACCTGAAGACGGTCGCGAGACCAGAAACACGTGTCGTAAAATTATGTAAAACAAAGCATAATATTTTTTCTAAATAAATCCACATTACAACCAAAAACGTTTGCGGCACCTCTCTTCTCTTCTTTTTAATATACATACTTTTCTCTCGTTGGAACCACTACATTATATTTCTCTTATATATATATATATATATATATATATATATATATATATATATATATTTTAAGCGTTTCACCCCAAGCAAGGCGGGAAGCCACTAGGACGCAAGGGGTTACAGAAAATTTGGAGCAAGATCAGATAGAAGTGATAGAAGAAAGGATGAGGAGAAGGGTAGTGGATAGATCAAGGCAACTGGAGATGTCGATTGATATTACATTTGAATACTTGGAGATTATAGCTCTTAGGGAAACTGGAATAGGGAAGGGAGTTCCACAGGCGAGAGGTGCAAGACATGAAGCTATTGGAGTAGAAGAGACGGCTACATTTAACAGTTTCGACAGTGAAAGGGTGAGAGCGGGATGCCAGCCTCGTAGGGCGCTTGAACTCATGAAGTCTGGGAACCAGCGAATGCAGCTCCTCGAAGCAATTGCCATGAAAGTATTTGTAAAACAGAGAGAATCGACGGCGCGTCTGTAAGAAAGTGACTGTAGACGAGATGCCAGAGCAGGGCCAATTATATTCCATATCCGCCTCTGGAGCCTATCAAGAACCCCGAGGCAAACAGAAGGGGCTCCAGATCATATATGGTAGCAATACTCCATGCAAGGTCGAATGGTATTGTGCCATAACGCAATTCACTCCACAAGAAATTTAAAAAACCGCATACTGTTCTGCTTGACATTCGCGCAGAAATCTTCGATACAAATATTTCAGAATGTTTAGGTATCAATCTGAGGATAGTTCAGAGGATGAGGAAAGAGATAGATGAATCTAATGGTCATTACGAAGGTACGGCCGCTCGGAAAACTCACTCTAATCGTTCTGATAAGAACTGCGCTGAATTTGTTGGTGACAGATTCAATACGGAAGCCTACATCAAGTGACTTGAAGAGGTACTGCTATCCTAGGTCTGCTGTAAGACACTATATCCGGCAACAGGCCTCTGCACAAGCAGGAGAACCAAGTAATGGCTGTCAGACAATTTCTGTGACAACATCACCTCTTACATCCGTCCAACTAACTCCCCAGACTGCAATCAACTTGATTAGTATATATGGGGTGCAGTTAAACGAGAGACCAACAAAACTTGTAACACCAAATATGGACTGAAAGCAAGGATTATGATTAGTTGCGTTTTAGGAAATTCCGAAGTCGTTTTGAGATATTGGTTTAAGGCAATAGCGATTTTATTGAATAAATGTACACTTTAGTATATCATTATATTTCCGTAACCGCATCACCCCTTATATCCGGCCACCTAACACCCCAGACTGCAACTCCCTTCATTATTATGTGTAGGGCGTAGTTGAGACGGAGACCAACAAAACTCCTTGTAACACCAAAGATGAACTGAAGGCAAGGATTATGGCAACATTCACCATCTTAAATGGGAAAACGCCCAGAAGAGTTGTAAGAGATTCTGAAGTCGTCTGGAGGCTTTGGTTGAAGCCAATGGCAATTTTATTGATGTTATAGTGGAACACACCTATTCAATAGTTATCACTCCCACCCATAATAAGTAGGAGTAGTAAGAGTAACAAGTCAGTCGCGGAGTTGGTCAGTCAGTCGATATCGGACGACCGTGAGTCGGATATTAAAGTATCAGCCACCACCACTAGATTACTGCGTCATTACCTATTATATCAAGTTCCTAACGCTTTGTACGTCGAACCTATTTTAGGACCGACTTAGTACAAATACAAGCCTCCACTGTGAAACCACTACATAACAACTGAATAAACCTACTTTTTAGTATTTCGAGATATTTTTGTATAATTTTCTTAAATAGATATTTTAAAATAAGATGACAGTGTTAATTTCATTTTTGCGTCATTTAGACGACAATTTATACATCGCAGCCTCTGTGTGTGTGTATGTGTGTGAGAGAGAGAGAGAGAGAGAAAGAGAGAGAGAAAGAGAGAGAAGGAAAGAAGGGAAGGATTGAGGAAAGAGCATTATTTAAATAGATATAATTTGTGGAATAAAGCCTAAATACATCAGAAACAATCATTATCTGTCCTCATAATATTTACTTGTTACCACCCTGTCTTTTATATATACTACATACTTTTATGCCCTGCAAATATTTAAATGCATCATCAATGGTAGTCATATTTTAGATCTGTTCTCTTATTTTTCAGACCACATCACGTTGAAATTTTGGCCGTTGTACGCTCCGGCCTTTATGTCTATGTCTCTCTATATATCTGTCTATATCTCTGAGATGAGGTATCATGATTACTTGCATTATCTACATCATTCGGACTGTTATCCTCATCTTCATTGCCATATTCACAACTTTTCGGCCGTTGTACGCTCCGGCCTTCTTCAGGTGATTTGAATTTTGAACCGAACATAGCCAAGTGGATAAAGGCGTTGTTTAGATCCATTGACTAGACTCAAAGAGTTGTGAGTTCAATACCAGGTACTGTAAGCTCGGGTGTTAGAGTGAGAGTGTGTATGAGAGTGAGAGGAAGGAAAAGAAAGAAAGAACAATATTAAAAAATATATAAAATGTGGAATAAAACCTAAATACATCGGAATATTAAATTCTTCAAGCGACCATCATTATCTAACCACGTAATATTTACTTGTTACCACCCTGTCTTTTATTCATATCACATACCTTTCTGTCCTTCAAAAATTTAAATACATCGTCAATGGTAGTCATCTATCTACTTTAGATATCTTATTGTGCTGGTTTACATTGAAACACTGCTTCCCGTACGAACACTGAAGTTAAGCAACGTCAAACCTGGTCAGTACCCAGACGGCTGACTGCAGTGAAATAATAGGTGCTGTAAACTTGGATGTGTGGGTGGTGTAATAGATAATGGCTCGGAATTGTTAATTGGAGAACCGAGTACCAAAATCAGTTCCGTTCTTTATATTCACTTACGGGCAAATACCCTGGGGTAACGTAGGAATCCGCCTCTTGCCACTCCCAGTTATGGGTAAATTAGTAAAAATTATATCGCTAAAATAAATTATTATCTAAACAGAAATTGCGTTCAATATATTTAAATTATGGCATTAAACAACCCATAGAGGTTGATATGCCCCTAAACAAAAACAACCAAAGCAAACCAATCAAAATATTTAGATTTCGGCATTAAATAACCCATAGAGGTGTTGATATGCCCCTAAACAAAATCAACCAAACCAGTCAAAATATTTAGATTTCGGCATTAAATTAACCCATAGAGGTTGATATGCCGCTAAAAAAAACAACCAAACTAAACCAATCAAAATATTTAGATTTATGCATTAAATAACCTATAGAGGTTGATATGCCGCTAAAAAAAACAACCAAACTAAACCAATCAAAATATTTAGATTTATGCATTAAATAACCTATAGAGGTTGATATGCCGCTAAACAAACACAACCAAACCAAACCAATCAAAATATTTAGATTTTGGCTTTAAATAACCCATAGATGTTGATGTGCCGCTAAACAAAAAACAAAAAACAAAAAAAAAAACAACCAACTAACACTGTCTAATTTAGTATTGTCTTGGTATAAAAAACAACACCTCACCTATCGGCTCAGAAGTTGATAACATTTACAACTTCTTTTTTATATTCGCCCGCGTATGTTGGGGCATTGATTACTGGAAATCATTTACGAGGAATGAAAAGCATAAATGTTTCACGTCATTTACATAAAAGAAAATCGATTTCGAAGAAATATTTTCATATTGGTTTGACCTTTTAAAAAATGGATATGCTTTTCCCTTCGTCTATTCATTTTTATCACATCTTTATTTCGTCTCATTTCATTTAACGATGAAACTCTTTCCTTCTCTTCAGCTTTTGATTCAGCTCTTCCTTCTTTCCTTTCAAAGTTCTCTCTTCTTTCCTTCTTTGCTTCCTTCCTTTCAACAAACGTCTTTCTTTCTTTCTTTCTTTCTTTCTTTCTTTTGTCTCAGTCCTTCCTTCATTCCTTCTTTATCGTCAAAAAACGTATTTTTCCTCATTCATTCATTCTTTCTTTCTTTCTTTCTTTCTTTCTTTCCAGCTTTTGGCTCAGTTCTTCTTCCTTTCTTTTCTTTCTTCTTTCCTTCCCTCTCTGTCGCCAAAAAAGCGTATTCTTTCTTTCTTTCTTTCTTTCCAGTTTTTGGCTCAGTCATTCCCTCTTTATCGCCAACACAGGTTTTTGTTCCTCTTTCTTTCTTTTCTTTTCTTTTCTTTTCATTTCTTTAGAAGTTCATCTTTTCGGACCTTCCTTTCTTTTTTTTAACCCTTCATTTATTTCTCTCCGTCCAACCTCCAGAAAAAAAAACTTCTTTTTCTTTAGTTTCTTTGTTCCTTTCTTTACTATTTTATTGCCAACAAAGTTTCCTGGTATTTAACTTTCTTCCGTTTTTTTTTTCGGTTTTAATTTTATGACCAGATGTAAAAATTCACTTAAACCTCTTCAACTAGCCCAGCCGGCTCACAATCTATAAATACGTCTCTGGGTATGAATTAAACAGCATCTTTTTTCTCATCGTTATTGCTACATGGTAATAATAATTTTATATTTTAAAACAAGAAAGAATATCTACCAAAAAAGCATCGAAATTACAGGACGAAAATTTGATACTGTCTCCTTGGCGCTAAACTTCTAAAAAATTCGTAAGTATAGTAGTTAACCAGCTGCTGAAAATTACATATATATATATATATATATATATATATATATATATATATATATATATATATATATATATATATATATTTATCCATCTTAATAATATCAATTATTTAAAAAAAGTAAATTATTTAAAAAGAACAATGGACAAAGTGTATTGAGGGGAAAATATTTAGATAGTTATCAGTTAACACCTAATAAATAGCCATAATTATGCAGTTAGTTTTATTGCGGACTCTAATTACGACCTAAAAGTTTTGAAGGCTCTCTATTTTCTATCATTAAAGCCTTCTGTATGTAAGCAGGACTTTGTATTACGCCTCTAACTAAGTACCATATAAATATTCCCCCCCAATAGACTTTGTCCATTGATCTTTTTTAAATAATTTACTTTATTAACCTCGATTTAGCTCTGTTGAGCGAGGTTTGAAATCGGTTAGCTAGCCCGTTTTACATTTTTACTTTTTATTATCATGAGTGGTAATATTAAAACTAATTTTTGACTGTTTATGGCAGTGATAAAATTTTGTAAAACTAAACATATCTTTATATATACTTTAAGACATTTTTATGTTTATACATGTTTTATCGATACAAATATTTCAGTAAATGCTGTTTTATACCCGATCGAGTCAGGGAGAATCGTTCGGTTAGCAAGGTCGATTTTACTGTTTAGGCACGTCAGGCTAAATGACTGTTCTGTATAGGATACAGGTTCGATTCCTGTCGGAGAAGGAATATTATCTATGAAAATGTCTCGGACATTCAGGCCGGTAAATGTTACTAATACTGTATATTATAAAACAGCGCATTTACTTAAATATTTGTATCTTTAAAACGAATATATGAAGATAAAAATGTCTTAAAATAATTGTCGGACTTTGTCCCTTTCATATATATATATATATATATATATATATATATATATATATATACTAGCAGCATGGCCCGGCGTTGCCCGTGCTTGATTCAAAAATCGTACGACTCATACAGCAATCGCTATCACTTGACTTAAAATATTTTTGCCCTTCCTTGCCTTTAAAGGAGTGCCCTTTGCCGTGCTGATGTTGCTACATGCCTTACTTCTTACCTATCTCACACTGCGAATTTTTTCTAAGCTCTATACTAAACATTAAATCTGTTACGAAAAAAGAACTAAACAAAATGAACACAAAACGATCAGCTTTAAAAAAGGACCCGTAACTGGAAAAACCGAATGAAAAAAGAATGTTAACAACAAATATTTTTTCACAACCAACCCATTTCTGCGGAATCAGAATCAACGCTGAGATTAAGCAAGCAAATGAGCCAATTGGAGTAAAGTGCCATGCAGATTTAAATTTTTCCCACTTGTGACGAATGCAGCTATCGATGTTTTTGCATGCTAGCTTGCTAGTTAACATTCGTGTCAGTCAGCTGTTGGCTCTCACGCTGGCCAGTAGAATCTTCCAGCCTTTTCGTGGAAGCCAGCTATAGGCTCTCACTCTGGTCAGTAGAAAATGGCCGCAAACTACATGAAAACTGCCGTGGAAGCAGGAAAAAAATCGATTATCTCCACTATCGATGGGAGTTGGGAAATGCAAAGTGGGTGTTGGCCTTCCCGCTAACTTGGAGCATGTGCATGTAAATTTTGGTGTAAATCCGTCGAAAATTGCGGCCATGCATTCGTTACAGACACACACACATCCTGCCGCCGTATATATATATATATATATATATATATATATATATATAAAAGAAAGAACAGCAAGATATATAATCCGGTGTTCTTATAGATATTTTTATTTTTACAAAATAGTGCTCAATGTAAATTTACAGAGCATTAATATTATAAATTAATTGATTTAAAATATGTTTTTTTTCGCGACACAGTTCTAACCATGTTTCAAAAATGGGAGCTAAAAGCCACAAATTTAATTTTAAATTCGCTTGAGAATGAAATGAAACTAATGTCTTTAATTTAATCACAAAATTAAATTTGTGGCTTTTAGCTTCCATTTTTGAAACATGGTTAGAACTGTGTAGCGAAAAAAAACATATTTTTTAAATATATATATATATATATATATATATATATATATATATATATATATCAAGGTGTTCGTGCTAAATTTTACAGAGTCTGACGTTTGCATTTTTTTTCGATTGCTTTGGGATATCTGGAAAAATCGAACGGCATTGTTAAACCTAGTCACTACAGTTTTAGAGGTGACAAAGTTAACTGACGTGGACGAGTAGAAGCCAACTGAATATTTGAAAAGGGAAACAGGCGTTATGATGATTCGCACCGGGTATCAAGGCGGCGCAATCATGACAGCTT